TCTCTCTCTCTCTCTCTCTCTCTCTCTCTCTCTCTCTCTCTCTCTCTCTCTCTCTCTCATACACACACAAACATATGAAAACACAAACACTTGTATGACACAAATCCACAACCAGCACTTGGATGTCCCACAGAAACCTCCTCCTCATCCCTGGGATAAAAATGGAAGTAATACATAATATATTTTCTCCCTTCTTCAACTGCTCATTACAATAATCAGAGCTTCTGCCTAAAAACAGGTCATTTCTAATGAAATCAAGCTTGCTACATGCCCTCATCAATTGTTTTCATTCAGGTGTCACTTCTGGGTGTGTTGTTTTCTGCTTATCCCATGTCAAGTCAAGTCAAGCCAAGATTTTTATTTGCCATTTATGCATAAACCGACAGTCTAGGCATATAGGAATTTTTGTGCAGCTCTCTTTTGGAGTCAGGTAAAGAGTCAAAAGCCAGAAAGAACACTTGGTCTTAAAATAAAGTTACAGAAAGGCAACAAAGCATTAAAACCGCAACACACAAAAATAGGGTAATAATCATCTAGTACAGATGTGAGTGATGTTCACTGACCAAACATTTTATTGCAATAATTTACCTGCACCCCATCCCCCCAAAACACACACACACACACACACACATTTGGTTTTTGTAATTTCAGATTAATATTTCTTACTACAGTGAACCGTGGGCTCATTATTTACACCATATTACACATGAGTCTATAGGCTATCAGGATTGCATTCTTGCTTAATAAAATATAGCTACTGATGAGGTGAATTCAGGTAAAAGCTACTGATCCTCACTGATTTATTACAATAATTCTATACTCATCACAGGTGCAGATTGAGAGAGGTTGATGAATTAGGCAGCAATTGTTAAACTTTAGCATAAGGCTAATGTATGTAAATTATGCACAAAAAAACCAGATGCTCTGTCCCGACAGTACAGTCCCCCAGCCAAACCTGAAACACCAGAAACCATTCTGCCCGCCTCCTGTATGGTGGCCACCATTACAAGGCAAATCAAAGACACCATACGGGAGGCCCAAGAACAAGAACCCGATCCAGGGGGTGGACCACCAAATGGGCCGCCAGATAGAGTATACGTCCCCCTGGCTGCTAGGGCCCAGACACTCGACTGCCATCCGGGGGTACATCATACCATCTCCCTCCTGAAACGTTCCTTCTGGTGGCCCACCCTAGAAAAAGACGCCAGTGAGTACGTAGCCGCCTGTGCTCCCTGTGCGCAGTCCAAGCCCCTACATCAGTCACCCGCTGGTCTCCTTCGGCCGCTGACTACGCCTAGCCAGCCCTGGTCTCTCACATAGCCCTCGACTTTGTCACCGGTCTTCTCCCCTCCCAAGGCAACGCAGTCATTCTCACCATAGTTGACCGTTTCTCCAAGGCTGCTCATTTTCTTGCCCTTCCTCAGCTGTCCACTGCTCTCGAAACAGCCCAGCTCCTGGTTCAACACGTTTTTCGCATCCACAGCCCTCCCCTCACCATTGTTTCCGACCGCGGTTCACCTCACACGTCTGGTCAGCCTTCTGCACAGCCATCGGTGCTCGCCCCTGTCTTTCCTCAGGTTATCACCCCCAAACTAATGGTCAAGCTGAACAGTTGAACCAGGAGCTGGAAAACGCACTCCGCTGT